AACTATACCCAGTTTGGGATTAAGAACGAGGCTGAAAGGTATTCGTACATAGGATGGCATATATTCGTGGTCGTATGTTCCCTTCTAGGTGATACCACCATACTGATTGCCTCAATCAAATGTCAAGCCTTTACCCTTCATGAGATAGTTGTGGCGTTCATCCAGAATATTGCTATCTGTGACCTGTTCATCGCTTTTGGAAACGTTCTCCCAGTTGGAGTCTCATTGATTGCCAACAGCGGGGGATCCAGCAAGATCCTCAACTATTGGAGATTCTTTGTTTCCTATTACGGTAATTACGTGTGTGCCTCCCTAATCGCAGCGATGGCATTAAGCAAACTTCTTCTACTGAAATATCCTCTCAGAGCAGGAGCCTGGTCTAAAAGGCATGCTCATTACGCTTCAGCAGGAATTTGTTTAGCGTTATTTCCTTTTCCAGCGCTACATCTTCTGGTCGACAAAGATGATGTTATCTTCGACTACAGGGTGTATGCTTGCATATACCAGTACTCTGCTAAAATCTGGAACGTATGGTTCCCAATCTTGATCCTAATAGTAATAGTTGTTCCTTACATCATAATAATCGTCTCAACAATCCTCCTGCTGAAAGAAGCCAGAAAAGTGGTAAGAGGAACTCGAGAAAGTCTGCGTTGGCAGGGCATCATGATAGTGGTTCTCACTGTAGCAGTCTACACTATCTCCTACATCCCCCTCACTGCTTACGGCATAGTTGAGCCTTTTGTCGAGAAAAATCAATCGGCACCAGGGATATTTCATGTAGAGTATTTTAGGTTAGCAGTGTCTCTTACGGCTGTTAATGTTCTGGCCAACTTTTTCGTGTTTAGTCTAACAGTGACCAGCTTTAGACAATTCTTAAGTATGAGGTTCCGAAAGACAGTTACATTTCTGACTAATAAAATACCATGTAAAGGTAAGGATCCCAATTAACTAGATTTGATTTTGATTATCTCAGCTGGTTGTATAAAATAGGGTTGTATGACAGAAATAGTTGAATTAAGTTAATTAAGTTAATTAAGTTAATTAAATTAAGGAGCCGTTTTCAATTTTATTTCAATTATAAAATGAAGCTGATTGAGAACGTTTCTATAAAAGTAAAGACAGAAGATGAAGCTAAAACAAAAGAACAGAACCAGTAAACTACCCCGAGGAAGGGTAACAACAGGAGGAGTAGCAGTAAACTACCCCGAGGAAGGGTAACAACAGGAGGAGTAGCAGTAAACTACCCCGAGGAAGGGTAACAACAGGAGGAGTAGCAGTAAACTACCCCGAGGAAGGGTAACAACAGGAGGAGTAGCAGTAAACTACCCCGAGGAAGGGTAACAAAAGGAGTAGTAGCAGTAACTACCCCGAGGAAGGGTAACAACAGGAGGAGTAGCAGTAAACTACCCCGAGGAAGGGTAACAACAGGAGGAGTAGCAGTAAACTACCCCGAGGAAGGGTAACAACAGAAGGAGTAGCAGTAAACTACCCCGAGGAAGGGTAACAACAGGAGGAGTAGCAGTAAACTACCCCGAGGAAGGGTAACAAAAGGAGTAGTAGCAGTAACTACCCCGAGGAAGGGTAACAACAGGAGGAGTAGCAGTAAACTACCCCGAGGAAGGGTAACAACAGGAGGAGTAGCAGTAAACTACCCCGAGGAAGGGTAACAACAGGAGGAGTAGCAGTAAACTACCCCGAGGAAGGGTAAAAACAGGAGGAGTAGCAGTAAACTACCCCGAGGAAGGGCAACAAAAGGAGGAGTAGCAGTAAACTACCCCGAGGAAGGGTAACAACAGGAGGAGTAGCAGTAAACTACCCCGAGGAAGGGTAACAACAGAAGGAGTAGCAGTAAACTACCCCGAGGAAGGGCAACAACAGGAGGAGTAGCAGTAAACTACCCCGAGGAAGGGTAACAACAGGAGGAGTAGCAGTAAACTACCCCGAGGAAGGGCAACAACAGGAGGAGTAGCAGTAAACTACCCCGAGGAAGGGTAACAACAGGAGGAGTAGCAGTAAACTACCCCGAGGAAGGGTAACAACAGGAGGAGTAGCAGTAAACTACCCCGAGGAAGGGTAACAACAGGAGGAGTAGCAGTAAACTACCCCGAGGAAGGGTAACAACAGGAGGAGTAGCAGTAAACTACCCCGAGGAAGGGTAACAACAGGAGGAGTAGCAGTAAACTACCCCGAGGAAGGGTAACAAAAGGAGGAGTAGCAGTAAACTACCCCGAGGAAGGGTAACAACAGGAGGAGTAGCAGTAAACTACCCCGAGGAAGGGTAACAACAGGAGGAGTAGCAGTAAACTACCCCGAGGAAGGGTAACAACAGGAGGAGTAGCAGTAAACTACCCCGAGGAAGGGTAACAAAAGGAGGAGTAGCAGTAAACTACCCCGAGGAAGGGTAACAACAGGAGGAGTAGCAGTAAACTACCCCGAGGAAGGGTAACAAAAGGAGGAGTAGCAGTAAACTACCCCGAGGAAGGGTAACAACAGGAGGAGTAGCAGTAAACTACCCCGAGGAAGGGTAACAAAAGGAGGAGTAGCAGTAAACTACCCCGAGGAAGGGTAACAACAGGAGGAGTAGCAGTAAACTACCCCGAGGAAGGGTAACAACAGGAGGAGTAGCAGTAAACTACCCCGAGGAAGGGTAACAACAGGAGGAGTAGCAGTAAACTACCCCGAGGAAGGGTAACAACAGGAGGAGTAGCAGTAAACTACCCCGAGGAAGGGTAACAACAGGAGGAGTAGCAGTAAACTACCCCGAGGAAGGGTAACAACAGGAGGAGTAGCAGTAAACTACCCCGAGGAAAGGTAACAACAGGAGGAGTAGCAGTAAACTACCCCGAGGAAGGTTAACATCAGGAGGAGTAGCAGTAAACTACCCCGAGGAAGGGTAACAACAGGAGGAGTAGCAGTAAACTACCCCGAGGAAGGGTAACAAAAGGAGGAGTAGCAGTAAACTACCCCGAGGAAGGGTAACAACAGGAGGAGTAGCAGTAAACTACCCCGAGGAAGGGTAACAACAGGAGGAGTAGCAGTAAACTACCCCGAGGAAGGGTAACAACAGGAGGAGTAGCAGTAAACTACCCCGAGGAAGGGTAACAACAGGAGGAGTAGCAGTAAACTACCCCGAGGAAGGGTAACAACAGGAGGAGTAGCAGTAAACTACCCCGAGGAAGGGTAACAAAAGGAGTAGTAGCAGTAACTACCCCGAGGAAGGGTAACAACAGGAGGAGTAGCAGTAAACTACCCCGAGGAAGGGTAACAACAGGAGGAGTAGCAGTAAACTACCCCGAGGAAGGGTAACAACAGAAGGAGTAGCAGTAAACTACCCCGAGGAAGGGTAACAACAGGAGGAGTAGCAGTAAACTACCCCGAGGAAGGGTAACAAAAGGAGTAGTAGCAGTAACTACCCCGAGGAAGGGTAACAACAGGAG